AAAAAACTTGCAACACCATACGAAAAGAAAAATGGATTTGTTGCAATTTCTGTAACCAGTGAACCATTACTTATTGGAAATACAATAGCTGAGTCAATTGATCCTCCAGAATCAGAAACATTCTGATCTCCACACTCCTCCAATAATATAAACAAATTGAGGAGTAATGAAATGTGAAAAGTATTTTGTTGGAAGAGTTAAAACCAAATTTGGAATCAGATTATTATTGATATAATTAATAGAAGTAGACATTACAACAATTGTAAGAGCTGTTTTTCCACTAATCATATAAACTCTTGAACTACCAGTTGGTTGACGAATCGAATAAATTGCATAATGTTCAGCATCCACATTGACTAATGTAGTGAATTGGTCAAAATCTGAAAATTCAGAAGGTTTCTCCATGTCCATAAAACATACAATCTCCAATAAGTCCTCCATATGAACTGACAAATGGCACTTGTGTTAAATAGTATAGACGTGTGTTTTCTTCTTGTTTGTCATGTTCTCTGATTGCTTTCTCTTCTTGTTCATTCATTTTTTTTGAATTGTTTTTAAGTTTTTGATAATTACTAGATTTGTAAAATATCTAAAATTGGAAAGTTGCATATCAATAATTTACATGAGAAGGCACTTTTTTTCTGATTTCATAAAATGTTTCAAGAATAGATTGACATTAATACATCTGTATCTTTTCACAGTTTCTCTAACTGTTTTCAGAACCTGCTCTCTATTAGAAAGATTACATTTGATAATTAAATAATTTTTAAAACAATAATTCTCCGCAATATACTTTCTCAATTCTTCCTCAAGATCATTTCTTTCACTTTCTGGAATATTTTCTTTAAAGTGCATTGCAATAGTAAAGATGTATCTATTTAATAAATCTGAATCATTGGCCACTCTCTTGTAGAAACCACTAAAAGATTCCATTTCCGCTTTTACATTGAATGGATGAAATTCTCTATAGAAAACCAATGTGAAAATTATTCCATCACTCCTTTGAATATAACTATCCACAAGAGCAGAGTATTCTTCATAGACTACTGCAGGAAATAGTGAAATATTTCTTCTTTGAATTAATAAATCGTCCATTTCCAAATTATAAGAATAATCATCAATGGAAATTCTTGGATCATAATCCTCTGAAAAGAATGAACTGGTCAACATGGTACAGAATCCTTGTCCATAACCATATCCATAAGAAGATGAAGAAATAAAACATGGTCTATAAACTCCATATTTTGAATCCGTTCCGATAGGACCAGAAGTAGATATCAAAGATTCTGGAAGTTTTTCCAAATGATTTTCAAAATATTCCAATTGATAATAGAGCATCATTAATTTTCCTTTCAATTTTTCACTGTCTAATGTTCCTTTCTGAAAATCACAATATTTGTTTAATAGTAAACGTTTCCAATAATTATCAAAATGTTGAGAGTAGGTTTGATAAATAAATTGGCAGGTTTGTGAGAGTGATTTTAATTCTTGAGATGGATTATGGAGGAAGGGAATGAGTAATTGTGTAAAAAAGGCTTCTCCACATGTTTCGTACCAGTGAGATGTTGATGATTGCTTTAGTTTCATTTTTAAATGGCTAGTTTTGAGACTAACGAATTTTCCTGCAGGTTTGTATTCGAAAGCCTTTGAAAAATCACCAAGCGTATCACTCTGTAACTTTACAATAAACAAATCAAAAAAAAACAAATACACTCTCAATCCAACTCAGCATGATTATCACTGAAAACAAGCCAACCAACTAGCCTTCTCCATCAACAACATCATCAACAAGGTGTTGAATACATAAGAATAAGATATCAATATTCGAACACACCAATAATTCTCATGTGTACAAAAATTATTTTCTCTCCTAATATATTAATTGGAAAATCCTTAATAAAATCAAATGAATTTCCAAAATTAATACATATTGGTGATTGTTTGTGGTGATGAAGAGGTGGAAACGTGATTACAACAGAATGCGATTTACGATAACAAGGTGTTGAACTCGATTTAATACACATTTTGGAAGTCAATTTCTTCTTCATCTTCAGAAGCATCAAAGATCTTAAAAGCATTCTTAGCTTCACTCTTTACATATCAAATTGACTCAATATTTGCAATGTTTACCACAGCCTAACTTGAAGAGATTCATTCAATGTTTGCTCAATTGTTTAATCTAGAAGGAATTTCACAAATATCAATGCCACTTTTCCGTAGTCACACAACATACTTCAATTGGAATTCAAAACCGATTCACAATTCGTGGTAATGCAAAATGTCCAAGAATCGGTTTCTTATTAAAATAAACTCAAACCAGATACATTTATATTTCACATTTTAATTAATGGTATGACTACGGCCATATCACGATGAATGCACCTCATCCCGTCCGATTTGAGAAGTTAAGCATCGTCGAGCCACATCAGTACTGAGGTTGGAGACAACTTGGGAACCTGTGGTGCTGTAGTCTTTTATCTTTTTACCAATATTCCTAAAGTTTCAACAGGCTCTATAATATTATATTTTCTATTAATAATCGATAGATAAATAAACTCTGATTCAAAAGCAGCCTATCCAATTCAAAAAAGAAGCATTGACACAATTTAATAATTTTACACATACGCAGGTCACAAAAATAATTGCGCCTGGTGACTCACCACAGCAAAACTTTTTGCTTGCACAACCTGCTAGCTTTAAAACCCGCAACACAAACGCGTTTGCTAAAAACCAACACAAAAAAAAACAACCAATAACAAAACAAATAACAAATACAAATGGCCTCCAAGACAGAACCATCAACCAAGAACTCCACTTCCACAACACCTTACCAATACGAGAGAAGGTCTGGCAAATGTCCAGTATGCTTCAAGCATGCTTCATGTTCTCACAGTCGATTATTGATCAAGACATCTGGCTTTGATAAGCCATTCATTGGTTGCTATAACAGAATGGTCTATCAACAAGCTATCGTTCCCGAGCATCAAGCAGATTTATATGATGGCGTGATCATCAATTCTGTTGCAGAATTTGCTAGTAGTCTAGCAGCAATCAAACCAGCATCTTGGAATGGCTACAGAGGTTTATTAATTGCCAAACTCTATGAGCCGATTGCTAATTTCGCAAAGCAAATGGGCTTCCTTCCTAAAGATTTAATTCTCTCCATCAAGGAAGAAAAGATGAAGGAAGATAAGAAGAATAATTTAATTAATAATAATTTAAAAAATAATCAGTATCATGATGAAGATATTAACCCGATGATGGAAGATGATGTGGTGAGTGTTGATCTTGGTGCTGTAATTGATGTAGATGATGAACAAATGCTTCCACCTAGTGTATTGGCAAGCGATAGTGATAATACTTCGTCATCTAACAATACATCACCTCCATCAACAACAAAGAGTGAATCCACCACTACTAACAAGAAGAAGAAACCAGCAGATCTTCCACAGTATAAGAAGGCTGCAATTAAGAAAGCCTCTGCAAAGAAGCAACAAGTCATCAACAAACAACAAGTACTTTCCACAATCTACACAACATCATCATCGACTCACAATAATCAACAAGCACACAATGTTAATTATCAAATAATTTGTGTTCATGATAGAAGCAAGAAGGAAAGAAGATTGGTCCGCTTGAGAGAACAAGATTTTGAATCGGTGGATAGTTTTCATGTGGCTCTTCGTCGTGAATTACAATTAAATTGTGGATTTAAATTTGAAAAGCTAAAATTCAAGCTTCCAGGCTTGAAACGTTCCATTGATTTAAAGAAGAGTGAAATGGAAATTATTGCTGGTTTTGTTAGAGAGAGAAAATATGATGAGATTTTATTTCGTTTTGGAGTAAGAATGGAGAATGATTTAAAATTATCTAATGATTCAAAGCTTACAAGCTCTGAATAAATTGTAAAATATTATTTAAATCCAACACCTGCCAATTTCCTGTTGCAATTCCACAACAAAATCTATCATACCAACTTCTGTGGAGATCTCACTTTTCCCAACCAAACCTTAGCAATTTCTTAACGTTAGATGAAACAACAACCACATAGAAAAATGCCACACCATAACACTGTAGATTTATCAATTATATTTCTGTTGCTTATTGTCTAAGCAAATTGTGAATACACATCTATCATAGGGAGACTGTTGTGAAAAATATGGATTACACAAATGATTTACCCTTTGTGTTGATTTTATGGGAATCAGTGACATTTTATTAGGATGGAAAACATTTAATGTTGTTCCCTCAACATCAACTAGCAATAATGTAGAACATAGTCTATCAACACATTACAAATTGATGAGTAAGATTATTCTAATTGACAAGCAGTACAATTCCCAAAACAAGTATATGAACGATTACAAAGAAGTCTATTGTTTATTCTAATTCAAGTGTAATTTGTAACTGCTCCAGTTCAGTTTGATCGTTAATAGCATATACTGAACTCCTGTAGATCCAGTCCCAGAGAAATGATCCAGAACAATACAAACATTTAATCAGAGCTAAATTTACCAAGCCACTCACGTATGTGAAATGTTGGCAAATTGGATTGCATTACAAACAAGTGCACTGACTTGTGAAGGGTTGCTAAATCTTCCCAGTGATATTATCAAGGAATATTTAAGGAAAAGGCGTCTGTTGGTTTGAAAAAACAAATTTGTGTTAGAGTGAAACATATTAATCATTCTAAGATATTGATTGTAAGCTGGCGTAGCTCAGTTGGTAGAGCAGCCATTCCTTTCAAACTCCTAAGCTGATTATTTCTATCTGGTGAATATTTGACATTTTGTTTAACCATAAATTATGATCAACTCTATTTATTCTTGTGTGAAAGAAAAGTTAATTCTTCTCTTAATTTAATCAATTCCATTTCCAATTGTTCATTCTTTGTTTTAAGCTGCAAGTTTTCTTCTTTTAACAATGTAATAATATTCTTATTAAAATCAAGTAGATTTTTGGTTAAAGTTTCTGGTAGTATTAGTGGTTGACTATTGTTTAAGGACAATAATAGTTCTTTAAATATTTGTAAATACATAGCACAATTGCCTCTGAGGTTTGGATTTTGTTGAATCATTGTAATGATTATCCTAGAGAGGATTGTATTAATTTCTAATGAAGAATCAACCATTCTATCTATTTGCATTTTGATTGCATGATGGAGCTTGTGTTGAAGGTATTGTGTGCCAACAGCTTGATGAAAGTACAATCCAGAATTTGTAAAATGCTGGATATTTAGATCATCTTCCATTTGCTCCTGATTACAATATTCAGAGTCTAACATTAAGGGTTGATGAATGAGTATTTCCAATAATATACATCCCAAAGAAAACATGTCACATTGTTTGGATATTTCAAAGTTCTGTAAAATTCTTTCACTTTCATTATTATATAATTCTGGGGCAATATATTTCAGTGTGCCAATATTCAATGTGCAAGATTTGTTAGTCATGATAACTCTCGAGGAATCCAAATCGATAATCTTAATAGTATCACCTACTAGAACCATATTAGCGAGTTTCAAATCTCGATGGGCAAAATTATTGTTATGTAAATTATTCACTGCCAGTAATATTTGTACAAACATTTGTAGAATTGTTGTGAGTGATTCCTTGTCAAGCATATTATTGTTTCTATTGTAAATGTCCTCTAGTGCAGGCCCAATTTTTTCCCCTTTTTCCATAATGATATATTTGATTTTCTTGTCAGAATATTCAAATACGTTACATTCATGACAGTGAATTATTCCATCAATATTTTTCATTAATAATTCAACTATTACATGATCTTGTAAATTATATTGAAAGTTCAATTTGAATGCCACCGTTTTTCTTTCTTTAACATTATAACATTCAAAAACGATACCTTCAGCGCCCTTTCCAAGTATAGATGTGGGTATATAGAGTGGAAACTTTGAATGTATTATAGAAGCATAACCTCTCTCTTCCAAATATATTTCCTTATTTTGATTCAATAATTCTGAAATTGAGGACAATTTTGGAAAATTATCTAGGGATATCCAAGTTGAAATTAATGTATCCGTACATTCCTTGTTAAATATATCTGAAAAATTAAACGTGTATGAATTGATATTTTGGAAATTAACTTCCTGTAAAGATCCATTAATGATATTAGTAATAAAATCTAGTAACAGGTAGTAATTTGAATTGTAAAATGGATAATCCAAAATTAATTCTGATCTTAAATTAAATTTGGTGATATGATTAGAAATCTCCTTGAGAAGATTAAGTTCTATCCACATTTCCTTTGGATATGTTCTTTTAAATGAAAAGGTACCTCTAGGTCTGTAATTGGAAAAATATACTGCCAATTCTAAATCAATATTTGGTACATGGTTTTTTGACAAGTATTGTAACAAGCCAGGAATATATTGTGCCCATATCAATGTCATTCTACATTTCCTTCCCCAATTTCTGAGCTCTTCTCTTTTTAATGTGTCGATTAAAATCAAGTCATGAAACAATTCATAACATGTAATAGCATGTGAATCTATTGAAGATTGTAAAATATTATTCATTAATGAAATTTTTAGATCACTCTTGTAGAGTGATTGAAATTTTGATATGTCTTGGTAATATTCCATCTTTGAGTTATTATATAATTTTGTAAATCTTGCTATTATTTCCATCAAAATTTGTTTGTTGTTTCTGAATTCTTTCGGAATATCTGGAAAACTGATAACATTTCTTGTAAAACCTTGCAATATTAAATGTTCGTTTGTGAGTATGTTTTTTGGATTTGTAAATCCATTATTAATGGCTATAAAAATTAGCTCAATGTCTTGTAAATATTTTGGGGCATAGCGAAGAGCATTTCCATCTTTTTTAACTGCTTCCAATATCAAGGGTCTATGGTTTCGTTGCTCCATGCTTGCATATTTGAGAGAATATCCATTCTCTAAAGCAAAGAGAATTATTTCAGTATCGTGTTGCAATTCTGTAAAATTAAAACATTTACAATCCTTTGATATTGCCTTTCTCACAAATTCCTTATCAAATCTTTTTTCCTGTGAAGCAAACTGAAAGGAGGTTACATCATTTTCAATAGCATCCAGAATAATTTTTTCATCTGAGCAATTCTCTGTTGTGGTATATTGTAGAGCAAGTCCATTATTTTTGACAGCTCTAAGAACCACTTCCTTATCTGCCCTCAAATTCATTGAAGCATATTGCAATGCAATTCCTTGATTTTCCACAGCATCAAGAACCAATAATTTGTCATTCTTCAGTTCCACTGATACAAATTCTAAGGCCAACCCATTTTTCCTAATTGCAAGTAGTGCAATGTCTCTGTCACTTTTAAAGTTTTCTTGAAGTGATTTGAATACTGTCCAATTTTCCCTCACAGCTTCAAAAGCCATCACCCTTTCTATTGATGTATCGACTGGCATTTTGCGAGCTAGGGCAGTAAAAATTTCATTAACATTTTGAGCAGTATTGGCTGAGGTTTCCATGAAAATTAGTGAATGCTTTTCAGCATATGCTTTGGCTTCAAATGTCTCGACTTGACGTTTATCCTCCAAGTGCGCATTATTACCAGCAAGAGCAATTACTAATGTCGAATTACCTTGTTGAACTAGTGTCACCCACTTTTGGGCTTGTATGAACGACTCTGCATCGGTAATATCATACACCACAAGAGCTGCATAAGCTCCTCTAAAGTACATTGCTGGCAATGATTTGTATCGTTCTTGTCCACTACTATAATTGTTTCAAATGCATTTACAATAATCATTCAATGATTAATCAAAGATACTAAAACCTACGTATCCCAAATTTCAAATTTCACAACTCTATCCTCCAATGGTACAGTTTGAGTCAAGAAAGCAGCTCCAATAGTGCTCTCCTCATGCTCACTAAAGTATCCTCTAACAAATCGCAAGACCAGATTCGTCTTTCCTGATTATCATGTGTTGTGAATTTTAAAAGCTCATATTAAAAACACTCACCCGTAGAACTGCTGCCCAACAAGATCAATTTATATGACACAAACTTTGGAGGAGTTTTAGAGGATGATATCATTGATTGGCTATTTTTTTAAATTTATCTTGGCTATTAATAATTCCTCCAAACGTGACTTTGATGATGTTAAATTTCAAGTGATTTTATCATTCCTACATGTTCATGATTTATTACAGGTGGAAATGATTTTACATGAGAATTTGTCAGCTTTGTTAAGATGATAGATATTGGGAACAGTTTTGTTTGGACCATGTAAAATTAATGATCAATGACTGTAAATGCAAATCTGAAGAAGTTCAAAACGATTTGGAAAAGTATATGTAATTCTATTGGGAAAACATGATTTTTAACAACATTTTGTTGAAATATTGTTGAGAAAAATCATTTGGTAGGTATCATTTATAGAGATTTAATTAGAATTTGTTTAGGTAATAATTCTATTGGGAAAACTTGTCTCTTTATTAGATTGGCTACTAATACCTATCCAGTGGAGTATATCCCTACAGTATTTGATAATTTCAGTGCTAACTTTTTTTAGGAGAAGAAGAGTGAAAGGGAAATTATTGCTGGTTTTTGTAAGAGAGAATGATTTAAAATTATCTAATATTCTGAATAAATCTCATAATTGTTTCTTTTACACATTTATTAAGGTATTTCCAACTAAGTGTAAGCTGGCGTAGCTCAGTCGGTAGAGCGTTGGTCTAATAAGCCATTGGTCGCCGGTTCGATCCCGTCCGTCAGCAGATAATTTTGAATCTAAATTCAGAATTTTTTAGTTTTTGAAGCAATGCTTGCTATTCTTGCTATTTTCCAGATGAGAAAATACAGTACCAAATAATGATATGGATTAAATGGTAAAATTCCTACTATAGAATGAATTGGCAAATTAAACAAAAAAAAATGAACATTACACAAAAGGCCTTTCTCTATGAAATGCACATGATGAAATTTGTACGTACATTCTCACTATAAAATCATTAAATTCTCTTCATCATTCCGATCAAAAACAGCATCACAATGTTAATCCATCAGCATCATCAAATAATAAACAAAATCAAAAACATGAAGAACATCATGGTATTAAATTTGGACCACACAATTGTCTCTTCTGTGCCATGGAATCACGTGATGGCAGTAACGTGAGAGAATTCTTCAGACAGTGGCCACAAAATTCCGAATCAAAGAATTTCCTCTTACTTCCCTTATCAAATTTAATTCAACATGTGAGTGGATCGGATATAACAGGTGGTACAGCCTTTTACATTGAATCAGAGTGTCTTCCAATAATGGTTCAGTTTTTGAAGAGATATGATATGGAATTTACATCTTTTTATGCTGCTAGGATTATTAATATTATTATGAGGAAATGTTGTGAAGAAGCAATTGTTGAATCAGGAGGACAGGGATATTATGGAAAAACATTTCCCTTATTGCAAAATTTGATAAGTGTTATAGTTGATCAGCATACGATAGAGAAGAGGGAGGTTTTGATGTGTTTTGCTAGTATTTTCAAATTTGTGGTGGAGAATCAAATATCATCGAAAGAGGAGAAACAGACCAGAAGGAGTTTACTTGCTAAAATTGCAAAAATTGAAATGATTGATGCAAAGGCAGTGGAGGCAATTTTACATTGTTTCAAATTTATTAATGAGTGGCAATTTAAATCGGAAGTGAAAGATTCTGCAACAATTTCAAAGATTAAACAGCAAGAAGTACAAGCAGAAACAAAATATGTAACCATTGAAAATCATCTTGTGGATACAAAGAAAATGGGAAAGGCTACCTATCAAATGGATTTACTTACGAGGCAGAATATGTCAACTGTGAATGAAAAATTCATGAAAATCACTGTGGTGGATTGTCTACGATGTCTAACAAAGGCAGTTTATTGGTTTTCACAAATTGAATACGAAGAATTTGAAGACATTATCTTGTTATCAAGATTGTCGAAAGAATTATTTAGTGAAATGGCTAAACTCTTGAGTGAAACAAGTGACTATGCCACACAATGTTACATTATTGAAGCATTTCATAATTTCAGCCAGAGGGAATACGCTAGTAAGGAAATTCTATCAGAACTTTTACTTGATACACTCAATGGCACTATTTATTTTGAATCACAGAGACTGGATAATTTGGATAGAAGTGTTGGTTGGAAAGCACCAATAGGAACACTTCCAGAATGTAAGTTTTGAAATATGTTGGATGAATTATAACACATTAAGCTGGGTGGGAAGCTGGCACCAAATGGATAAACACTGAAGGAGTATTGGAACCTCAATACTATGATACAAATTTAAATTTGAAAAAATCCTTGAGGAAGTTATTAACAGAGGAGGATTTGGAAAAAATCAAGCCACCAAACTCACAACCAACACGTAATGAACCACGAATGGCGATTGCAACCATACCAAAAATACTCAAAACATGTGCAGTGTGTGGTTCGACACAGAATCTTAAAGTTTGTGCCAAATGTAAAAAGGTGCATTATTGCTCCAGAGAATGCCAAGTTAATGCCTGGAAAGACCACAAAAAATCGTGCAAACCATAGAGTAATTCAAATTCAACCAGTAAAAATTTATTAAACTTTACAATACTATTAATATGCGTTGCAAAATTTTTCGTTTTCCTGCCCTATAAAAGCTGGCTAGAGTCATTTCAAACAATTTCAAAAAAAAAAGCCTGAACAAAAAAGTAAGTAAAAATTCAGCTGAAAATTCTTGAACTATAAATCATTATCAGATGCCAAGAACAAGAAGCTCTACCACCAAGAAACAATCTACCAAGAGAAAACATGAAGAAACATCAACCTCCGATGATTCCGAAATAAAAATTAGAAAAATTAATAATAATAAAAAAAATCGTGATGAGGGTGATGATGAAGAAATCGATAATCAAAGTGTTGATAATCAAGCTACCACAACCAAGAAGAAGGAATCAAAGAAAGACAGATGGTACGCTTATGAATCAAGTGTATATAAAATTGATTTGACCACCTTGTTGAGTAAGCTAGTAGCTCTCTCCCAATCAGAAATCTTCTTCAATTTTCAAAAGATTAGAGATGAAATGATCAAGACAATCTTGAAGAATTATGAAGAAACGTTGATGATTGCAGAGAATAATAGAAATTGTTGTTCGATATTGACTCACGGTCAATTGCATCTCAATGAAAGCGTTCAATACAAGAGAAATCAATGCAAAATCATTCAAGATGAGAATTGTCATGAAGTATATTTGTGTGTTCATTCTCTAGAATTCACCAATCAATCAGCAAAGAATGAGCAAATGTTTGCATGTGATGGATGGTTAATTTACAGATGTGACAGAATGAAGGGAGATGAACATGCCTTCTCCACAATTCATGGCCACATGATTGGCGACAAGATCAATTCGAAAACTTTGCATTGGTTGGGAATTCATGATTCACATTGTACTATTAGAAGAATTGAATGGGAAATTAAAGAAATTGTTGATAAGAAGAAGGAGAATTTGCCAGATCCTTCACCGAGGGAGCAGATTGAGAAAGAACTTGAAAAGTTTAAGGCAATTCCATTAGACAATTTTATTCCAAACAGAGTGCTTGAGGTGGATTATCCTTTCCAGTATGTGAATTCTCTCACTCTTTCTCCTCTTTCACAAGCCAATTCATCCCAAATTAGAAGCATTGAGATAGCTCAACAATCTACTCAACCACAACAACAATTTCAACCACTGAATTCTTACAATAGTACAATGCCAACCTATCCTCCAAATGATAGCATTTGGCAACAAGAAGATCCATCCAATCATGACAAATCTCAAACTACCAAAACACCACAACATGCACCAATTAACTGGATGGCAGAAGACACTCTCGACATGGAATCATTTCTCAACAGAATATAAAATTGTAATTTTCTAAAATCATCTCATGTTCGTTTATTATTCGTGTAAAGTTCCATTTTTCTCTAAGGATCGTTCAATGATTATTGAGCAGACTGCAAAATTGTCAACTGCATCTGATATGATGGTAGTTGCCAAAGAATTTAAATTGTGGAATGATAAGGAGTTTGTTATAAAGCTTATTGAAAAGAGTGAATATGACTTGTCCTATGAAATACCAAAGAAATTGAAAAAGGATAGAGATGTTAATCTTGCATCTGCAAAGAAACATGGAATTATAAGTGATGGATTAGAGAAGGATAGGGAAATTGTGATGGCTGCTGCTAGTAGTGGTAATCTATCATGGCTTCCAAAGGAATTTTCAAATGATAGGGAGATTGTAATGGCAGCTGTTGCCAATAATGGAAGAATTTTGAGAGGTGTGGGTGATGAATTGAAAAATGATAGAGAAATTGTTAGAAAAGCCATTGAAAATGATGGATGTGCAATTGCAGACGCCCCAGAAGAATTTCAGAAAGATAGAGAACTTGCTGAAATGGCAGTTAAACAAAATGGACGTGCCTTTATTTGTTTGAAAGAATTTGAAAACGATAGGGAGCTGCTAAAGATTGCTATTAAAGGAGATACCACCATTATTGACAAATTACCCTTTGCTATCAAGAATGATCGAGAAATTATCATGTTGGCTGTTGAGAAAGATGGATTAGCCATCAAATATGCTTCAGCTGATTTGAGAAATCAAAAGGATATTGTCATGAAAGCTATTGAAAAAAATCCTGATGTACTTTGTTATACTCCTTTTGAAATGAGAAATGATCCAGAAATTAAGGAATATCATAGCAAACTAATTGCAGAAAGACAAAATAAATAACTTATTCTGAATCGAGATCAATACCATCAAATAGTTTTAGGCGAGCCATTCTGCTGATGAAGGTAGAGGAATAAAGTAACGATTCTCCTCGACTGAATACTGACTAAGGAATTCATTTTCAAAAAACCAATTCCAAATATTCTCAATTCCCTCTCCAGTCTTTGCAGAGCAGGACATGTACTTGAATCGGTAATTATTCCACAACAAGTTGTATGTTGATAAATAAGAAGAAGTTTCGAATGTCTTGAATAATTCTGATTCCAAGACGGATCTAAGTTCCTTATCTGGTATGCAATCTGTCTTATTGGCGAGTAATAAAATAGAGAGTGGTTTGGCATTTCCATCATCTTGTTGAGTGTCCACATTGTTCATTAGTTTGTCGAAACTTTCTCTTGCTTCTTGGAATCTTTGTCTATTGGAAAGGTCAACAACCATGACAAGTAAATCAGGAGCATTTGGTGAGACGAAATTCTTCCACAATCCTCTAAGTCTTACCGACCCACCAACATCAACCTTAATAGAATCCACACATTATTATCCTAAACTCAAAATCTACTTACAACATTAATAGGAGCACCTCCATATGAAATAGTTTCATTATTAAATCCAATCGTTTGAAAAGTTTGAACTACCTCATTAGAATTTGGGGATTTCATTCTCTCTAATAGAAGTGTCTTTCCTGAGGCGTCCAATCCAAATAAGTTAGCCTCGAAAGATTTCAAAGAGTTCTTTTGTCCAATTATCTTATATTTTTCTATTGGTAATGCAGGTTTAGGAACTTGTTCAACAAACTTGCCAAACTGATGAAACATGACATAGGTCAGTAATTTTGAAAATTCATTAATGATCTCATCATTTTCCTGTTCCTTGATTATTTTTGCAAAAAGTTGAGGAATAATCCTTTGCGCATTATCTGTCGTATAAGAATTATCTGTGGAATCAAAACAGAATTGATAATATAGCTCAGCAATATCTTTTTTAGGCAAAATTGGATGATCTCCAAAGCATTTCTTTAGCATGGGTGCAATGGTCTGAGTTGCCAGCATGTGTAAAGAGGTGTAATCACCTATTGAGTTTTTTGGATCTGCTGTTTCCACAAGAAATGTCGAAAATAAATCTTGGAATTCCAAAGGATAGGATCTGCTGTAATATCTCATAATTGGATGAAGAAGCATAAATAAGCTTCTATTGTGAGTCATTTTCATCATGTTGACATTTTCCAATGCAAGAATGATTCCTTCTCTCAATCTATAAATTAAATTGTCAGTTTCGAGATTTTCCAATGTGGAATAATCTTGAAAGCATGTTTCAAAAGAGCTCGATAAGATCCACAATGTGATTAATCCAAGAAAATCATCAACACACAGCTGATTTGTACATTTCATAACTCTCAAAAATATGTCACACGGCAAAACATCAACCAGATAGTTCACTGTTGGATTGGTCTTTAAAGATTGTAGCATGAAGAGTTTGGTATCGGTTTTGATGTTGAACATTTGGATTTGTTTGAATATCTTGTAAGTTTCCTTGCATTTCTTATTCCATTCGTCTATACTGGTTGGAATTCGTTCCAGAAATTGATCAATGACCCCTTCATAGATTAAACCACCTAAAACACAGGGCAAATTATGTGAAATTACAGAAATGCACGCTTCAATTAGAATGCTCCCCAATTCTGGTGTAATTTGAAGAGCTTTCTCAAGTAATATCATAACATTATATTGATTCAGAATACTCGTCACCGACACAATAAAAGAAGCAACTCCAAACTTATCAGCCACATCCAATAATCTCAATAAATCCACAATCCCAATAAGATTACTTCCAAAATCTTCCAAATTTAAAGGAAAAGCTGTTCCCTTAATTGGCACGCCTATATTACCATATCTCAGAAAATTCAAAATCTTGAGTGTGTCCAATTCCTCTTCATTCGAAAGAGCACTAAAATCCACTTGATTTTCATTCGCTTCTTTCATTTGACTCTCAATCATTAACTTAAAGAAATTACTCTCAGATATCAGTAATTTCTTCGAGGCACGAATTGTCTCTGAAGGCAGACGAATCATAAAGACATCACTCTCCTCCACATTTTCAAATCTATCTCCACAATTATCATTATTCACAATTGATAAGTAATAATAGGAAAACTTTTGCAACAAGACAACCATATCAAAAGAATTTGATTTTTCATTCGGTTTGATGGAAGAATTCTTCTCACTTTGATCAATTGCTGCTGCTGATTGATCAGTATTATCATCTCCTTCTAAAGAAACAAAGTTATCATCAAAGAATTGTTTAACTGTTGATGAAGATTTTGTTATTGGCTGTGGAGAAGATGGTGAGGAATCATTATCAAAATCTTGCCAACCTTCATCCCATGCAGCAGAACCCATCGGAGTATAACCAATCGGTTGATCATCCTGTTGACTTTCAATATACGTCTTGACATCCAATTCATCACCATTATTCTCATCAAATGATGATGAATAATTGGCAGAAGAAGAATTATTAGTACCGAAGGAAGTTATGTGACTGGGAAAACATCGACCATCCCAATAGGTATGTGGAGGGAAATACTTGCTAGACATTGATCTATTTTTTCTGTTGATTTCTTGCTGTCAACTCAAGTAGATACGTCATGGAACACGTTGTTAAACTTTACAAAATATCTTGAAGATCTAACTGAATAAAAGTTAAGTACAAGAAAGTGAGTCAAATAAGAGTATTCTTTTGCTGCTTTTGGATTCCAAGCAATTAC